TTTTAATAGGAGTTAGAAACCTTTATTCCTAGATCTTGTCCCAGTTTGATCACAGGCATGTGCTCCCCTGGACATTACCTGGTGCCTGCTGGGGGCAAAGGAAGCAGGCAGAGCTAAGTAGCTCCGGGGAGGATGGTGTGGACTTTGTCTGAATGCATAAGAGATACGGCCTTACACTCAAGTTAAGGATGCAGCCCTATCTCATAACCCTTTCATATTTAGAAAAACTACCTTTACTATGGCATATAACTCTCCTTAGACTCACGTAACTGCTTTCTACTATGATGCCTGTCAAAGACTCACGTACCTGGAGACATTCCTCAGCCAGTCTGAACGGATGTAATAGATTGCTGTGGATTTCTGTGCAGCTTCCTTGGTCGGCTGTTATTACCAGCCTTCTGGGCAACTCCTTTGCTAGGCTTCTGGAGATCCCAGGTACATGGGCATCCAGTGTGGCCTTCACTGACCTTTCAGGTGGCTCCAGGGGCTACAGCACAAAACAGCTCTTGGTAGTTAGTTAGCAGTTGCAGCCAGATCCTGAACCTTGTTCAGCCTGCTCTGAAGTCATTGGACCATGTCTTACAGAATTTCCGGTGGGTTTGGAGAACGGAGGACAGTTACCTAGATAAAAACTTAGTGCACAATTTGGGTCATTGACAGTTTGTATTGAGTGAGAATACAGCAATGACTGCATTTCTGGGGACAGGTGCTCATTTTGGTTTGCTCACACTCATGCCAGGCACAACCAGACAGAACTTCAATGCAGAGAAGGGCCAGATCAGGTCTGGGATGGATGGCCAGTCAGATACTGTTGGTGAGCCCAGATTCTGAGTATGTATTCATCCAGGCTACCACAAGACTGAGCAGCGTGTGTTGACCCAGACTGGGAGGCTGCTGCTATAGCAAGAGCCTATGTGGTAAACCAGTCCCAGAGACTGCAAATGTTAGAGGCACTTCACCATAAACAACGTACATCCAGAGGTGCGCAGCCATAGGTGTTCTCTGCCCGCAGAGCCAGTCTATCCAAATGCCACACGTACCTGTCCTCGTGACTACTTACAGCAAGCTCTGGCTGTGGAGCAATCCCTTCCTTCCGCCTTCCATCCTGATGCCATAAAAAGCAGAGATGTACTGTGATACCTAGTGAATTGCAAGGCTCAAATTAGCAAATACACTGTTTAAAATCAGTTGCTTATTTAATTTTTTTTTTTTTTAAATACCCCTTTGCAGATGACGAGGTGACCGTCGGGAAGTTCTACGCCACTTTCTTGATTCAGGAGTATTTCCGGAAGTTCAAGAAACGTAAAGAACAGGGACTGGTGGGCAAGCCCTCCCAGCGCAATGCGCTCTCCTTACAGGTGACGAGCGGGCACAGGAGGGACGGGGGTGGTACAGTAGAAGCATTTGATCCCATTTCCCTCTCAAGCGTTATGAGGGATGCAATGGGCTATTCCCACTGGAAAGGAGCTTGTAGACCCCTTGAATTACCATATCAGTCGTTTCAGATACATGTGTGTGTGTACCGTGGGCCACATCCCGTAGCTCTGGAGGTGGAAGGCACGAGTGAGGTATATCCACAGTTTATCAATCTGCTGGTAATATTTGAAATTTGGGTTTCTTTTAAAGAAATGATACGAAATGCCTGGCAGACATTTGCATATTACCACATTCATTCTACCCTTTCTGAGGAGAGTCACTATAGCAGGGTCAGGGAGAGCGTGTTGCCAGGAGCCGGGAGGCAAATTCAGTTAAAAAGCAAAAAGTATACCTGGGTGCCAAGGCCATCCAATGGACGAGTCACCAGGCTCTAAGGCCTGGGATCTGTTCACCACTGTGCTGCATGTTCACTGGGTGGACTACCAGGCTGTGTGAAAGAATGAGAAAACCCCAATGACTGTACAAGCAGCACCATTTATGTCCCTTGCACGTCCAGTAAAGAAGAAGGGTGACTCTGGAGTTCCCAGTAAGCTATGAAGTGTTGTGACACAGACACAGGCACAGATACAGACTGAGGGCTCGGCATACCCACAGCTTACAAGATGGACTCCCTGGAACAGATTCCAGTCAGTGAGGGGTTTGAGGACTGTCCAGGTCCAGATGCCAGAAGTGTAGCTATTAAATCAGTATTTAAGCTGCTGATTAAAAAAGAAGAGAATTTGAGAGGCGCTGAGTACATGGTTCAGCTGGAACTGTGACTGCTCTAACGTCTTCTGGTTGTGGATCTGAGAACCCAAAGCTGAAAGCATGCAGACTTGCTTAGTCAAGGCTGTGGATTTATGTGTATGTCCTGTTGTGATGAAGCCAGGGGACTAGCAACAAACATTCCTGTGTTGAATTGCTAAGAGCTTTTCCTTCTCTAAGCTGGAGATGAAAGAACAGAATTTGTTGGTGTTTTTCTAGGAGCTGGGGATGCTATATTGAGTAAAAGAGCTTCACAGTGCTTAGGAAGAAATAGCACTGCTTTTATTTCTCATATACCCACTCGGAGATATGAAGCTCTATAGTTTGCTGTTTTGCAGGCTGGTCTGCGCACACTTCACGACATTGGGCCGGAGATCCGACGAGCAATTTCTGGAGACCTGACAGCTGAAGAAGAGCTAGATAAGGCCATGAAAGAAGCTGTTTCTGCTGCCTCTGAAGATGATATCTTCCGGGTAGGTGTTGAACAAGTTTACAATTTGAAGCTAGACCAGTAACTGAGCTCAGAGTATGCTACATTCTGGTTTATGTACTCTGTATTTCAGCTGGGCCCTCCTTCTTGTTTTCTAGACCATAGAGTGGTGGACTCAGAGTGCCAGGTCCTGAGAGCTTTGCACAGTTTTTTTCCTATTTTCTTCTCAATAGAAGTTTCCCTCATAAAACCTAAATAAAATCAGAATGAGAATGGCCAAAAAGCCTGAAGAACAGATCAGTTCAGCCATCCTACAGTCTGCAGAGCAGCAGCCAGGAACACTTTAGTGTTTTGTTCACTCCTCCTTTCAGTGGCACAAATAGCATCCTTCCAAAAAGTACACCGGAACCCAATAGATCTCCTATGGAAGGAGGAAATTTTCTGAGCAAGTTACCTAAATCTTCTCTTTCTTATTTCATTCCTATTTCTTGTAATTGTCTCCTCTGGTAATATTTCCTCTCTTTTGGCATTTTCCTCCTTTCCTTACAGAAAGATGCTGTCAGTCCCTTTCGTTACTCATCATCTAAGCAGTACATAACTGGCTCGTTAAATCTTTCTTCATTTAATCACCTCCAGGTGATTAATAGTTTCGAGTGCTCTTCTCAGATTCCCTCTCATGTCTAAATGTTGCTTTGTAACTGCACTGTTATTTTGGTTTGGCCTGGATAAATGCCAGGTGCCCACCAAAACTGCTCTATCACTCCCCCTCCTCAACTGGACAGGGGAGAGGAAATGTGATGAAAGGCTCCAGGGTCGAGATAAGGACAGGGAGAGATCACTCGCCAGTTACCGTCACGGACAAAGCAGACTGGACTTGGGGAGAAAAGGGAGTCTCATTCATCACCAACCAAATCAGCGTAGGAAGTGAGAAAATAAATCCAGATCTTAAAACACCTCCCCCCCACCCCTCCCTTCTTCCCGGGCTCAGCTTCACTCCCATTTCTCTCCCTCTTCCCCACCCTGAGCAGCGCAGGGGGACGGTGGGTCCTTCCCACAGGGTGCAGTCCTTCGGGAACAGGCTGCTCCAGCGTGGGTCCCCCACGGGGTCACAAGCCCTGCCGGCAAACCTGCTCCGGCGTGGGCTCCTCTCTGTCCATGGGTCCGCAGGTCTTGGCAGGAGCCTGCTCCAGCGCGAGGCTCCCCACGGGGTCACAGCTTCCTTCAGGCATCCACCTGCTCTGGTGGGGTCCCACGGGCTACAGGTGGAGATCTGCTCCACCATGCACCTCCATGGGCTGCAGGGGGACAGCCTGCCTCACCATGGTCTTCATCAACGAGTTGCAAGGAGAGGCTCTCTGCTCTGACATTTCGATCACTTCCTCCCCCCTCCTTCTTCACTGACCTTGGTGTCTGCAGAGCTGTTTCTTTCACATCGTCTCACTCTTCTCTCTAACTGCGTCTCACTCGGAGTTTTTTCTTCCCCTTCTTAAACATGTTCTCACAGAAGCGCTGCCACCGTCGCTGATTGGCTTGGTCTTGGGCAGTGGTGGGTCCATCTTAGAGCCAGCTGGCACTGGCTGTATCAAACATAGGAGCAGCTTCTTGCAGCTTCTCACAGAAGCCACCCCTATAGCCCCCCTGCTACCAAAACCTTGCCACCAAACCCATAACAACTGTGAAAACCAGACAGCAGTTACCTGGTTCTTGCATCTGTACCCAGTCCTGCACTCCCAGGACCGGTGGGAGGTGTAGAGACACCTTTGCCTCATCTATGCACCTGGCTAATCCTCTGAAATTTCTTAGAAAGCTAAAGCTTTCACAGTCTGTGTGTACCTAATCTCTCTGACAGAGAAGTCCACGCTCTGTCCTCTGGCAGAGAGAGCACCAGTGTGATCATGCAGACTTTGGTCCTCACATTTTTTTCCCCTCAACAACAGGCTAAGCAGAAAACAGCAGGGCCCTTGCTCATCTTCTCACTCACAAAGGGAAATACTTTCTGTTTCTCTGACAGAGAGCCGGAGGCTTGTTTGGAAACCATGTCAGCTATTACCAAAGTGATGGCAGGAGTGCGTTCCCTCAGACATTCACCACCCAGCGACCTCTGCACATCAATAAGTCTGGCAACAACCAGGGAGATACCGAGTCTCCATCTCATGAGAAGTTGGTGGACTCCACCTTCACTCCCAGCAGCTACTCATCTTCAGGCTCCAATGCCAACATCAACAATGCCAACAACACTGCCCTGTGCCGCTTCCCCAGCCCACCCAGCTACCCCAGCACTGTCAGCACAGTGGAAGGCCATGGGACCCCCTTGTCACCCACCATACGTGTGCAGGAGGCTCCTTGGAAACTACCTTCCAAAAGGTAAGCTTCACAGAGCAGAGAGTGGGTCAAGGGACCGGGGAGAGCAACATGCATGCAAACACCAGAGCACTGCTGCCTAGCTGAAGTCACCCACCAGACATCGCCCAGCCTGCAGCCTGGATTGAGCCTTCTGGTTCTCCACTTGTGCCAAAGCCCACAGTGCAACAGATGTGCATCAGCTGACCACTGCAAAGATGCAGCACTCTCACTGACCAGCACACTTGATTTGTTTTGGCTTTATCAGGAGGAAACCTTTGTAAGAGCCAAAAGGAACCTTATTTAGTCCTGAGTCACCACAGGGAAGTGTTTTATCAACTGCTAATTGAAAGACAAAGGGACTGCAGTTCATCTCTGTAAGTGCCCAATAAGGAGCTTTGTGGAAGTCGGTGGTTTTTCATTCAGTGGGTCATACCCCTACAGAGGTCACCAAAGGGGGGCAAGGTTTTCAGAAATGCAATACTGTGCAAAAGCAAAGAAAATCTCCTTCTCTGGACAGCTTTCAGGCTGTTTACACACAGATGACTAATATGAAAAAAGTATCATTTTTATCAATGGGGGATTTTTTTTTTTAACCAGAGCTGGAAATTTTTTCTCAGTGCAGAGTGGGCAATGTGAAAAGGTGGAGAAGTGCTGCCCCAGCAAAGGACACAATAGGACAATAAGATGGAGGAAATTCAGTGGGTGCAGAATTGCCCAAGTAAAGAGTCCAGTGGTTTTTCTATTTCGTGCCTTCCTGAGGGAGGCCACAGAAGTTGCTCAACATGTGTTATCATCTGCCCTCTCCCTTGCTGACTCGTGCTGATGTGACACTGCTAACATGGTGTTCTTTTCTCTCCTTGCTTCCTTGGGTACCTTCCTTGAATTAGGACGCATTACTACGAAACACTGGGACGGTATGTGTTCTCCCTCATGCTTTAATGCTCTCAGGGTGTAATTGTTTGTCCCATTGAAAGTCCAAATCCCCGTTAAAGCTGAATATGAGCTCTTCCTTTTGGTGTCAGCAGGGCTGAAAAAGATCACCATGGCATCTCCAGAAAATACTCCCAGCTCAGGGCTTTTCTGCCCACAGGCAGATGGCGATGCATGGACTGTTTCTAGTTGGTTTCTAGATTCGGGGTTTTTTTAGAGTTTCTAGCTGGGCTCATACATCTCATCACTCGCTGATCACAGCACAGTGAAGTACGCTCTGGCGTGTTCATGCAGAAATTCTGTATAGTTTTGGCTAAACACAGACTGTTGAATAGGGGGACCTGCCGTGTTCTGATTTCTCCCCTCTGCGCCTTAGCAGTTTAACTTGCCTTCCATCTCAGCAGGTTTAGGAAGGTCACTCCAGCACTGTCCTACAGGCTGTTCTATACCATGCATATGCTATTCTCCTAGTGCTTTTTGTTCAAACCAAACGATAAAATAATGTTACCTATTCAGTCCCTGAAAGATGCAAAAAAACTGCCATACTTCTCTGTTCTGTGAATGCTAGTAACAGACTGACTTTGGCCCCAATACCTCCATGTCGGTATCTTGAAGACTCACACTACCTTCAGATTCTCCTTTACTCCTCAGAAAACACAAACTCAGAATGAAGTGAAATATGAGGGCCAAGACATGAAACAGAGGGACAAGCAGTAGGCAAGCAGGGAATTACGGGCTGTGACGCTTAAGGATTTGAACAGATCCTACTGAATTCACTAGAAGCACTCTGCAGTTAGTGATGAGAAAAATGGACCAAAGATGGAAAAGACAGCAAGGAATGAGAGCATGAACAGGAGGCAGATGGGAGAGATGGTGCAGAGTAAGGGATTTGGGAGGCAGAGACCATACACCGCAGAGCTGAGAAGGTTCCTGTTAGTGTCTAAGAGGCTTCTATGAAATTTGTAACCAAGGCTTTTGCAACAAGGGAAAAAGCTGTATTTCCAAGAGCCCATTTTTTTTATTGTTTTGATTTTTACTCTGAGTTCAGTGAGGTATGTCTTTGGAAATGTGGTCAGTGTGATGTGCGCATTTATAGACTAGATGTAGTCACAAATGACAATAACGTGTTTACAGTATTGTGCAGGATTTATTTAAGAAACCCTTGCTCTGAAAGAGGACACAGATAAGGGTGTTGCTTTGTGTTTGTGAACTCTGCAGATCTGTTCAGTCATCAATTTTTCTGTGATAGCTCTTCCACATTAAAATAAACTGAGACAGATGGAGCCTGTCATTCTTGTATTTATAACAGGTTGTCTCTACCATCTCCATATCTTGACTTGTCTTTTTTGTTCATTAGCTCCAGTTCCAGAGACAGCCAGCTGGCAATTGTTTGCCAAGAGGAAGTGTCTCAGGATGAGACTTATGATGAAAATTTGAATGAAGACATTGAGTACTGTAATGAACCAAGTCTGCTCTCTACTGAAATGTGAGCTTTGCAGCTTTAGTCAAGGTGTTTGGGTGGTTCTTTAATTAAAGGGGGAGAGGGGGGAAGAGGTAACACTTTTCTACAAAAATTTCAATTTTGGGGATAAGGTCAGAAGATTTTAGTCAGACAACTCAAATATCAGAAAATAATTTTTTAAAAAGGCAGTTCAGCCCTGAGCAGTAACATTGAAAAGGGTATCTTTCACCCAGGATTTTCCTTCTCCTCTGAATGAGACATCTGGATCTGCAGGGCCTCGCCCCTCCCATTCACTTCTACCATCCGATGTTCCCAGACCTCATCTTTTAAGTGTTCTCTGTCTCATGGTTTCTCTTGCTGCTCCTGGACCAGTTCTAGCTCAGAGCTAGCTTGCTATTGCATACATTTGACAGCATGATCTTCCTGGCTTCCCTGCTGGAAGAGGGATTATTCTGTCCAATATCAGCTGCTTTTCTAGAATCCCTCTGTTCTCCTTTCCAGGCTCGCATACCAAGACGACGAAAACAGACAACTGACCCCACCGGAAAACAACAAAGGAGAGGACACCCGGCACTCCCCAAAGAAAGGGTTTCTGTGCTCCTCAGCACTAGGTAACGTCCCAGCGTGGCAGGCGAGCTGTGCTCTCCTCTGCCTCGACTGAGTTCTCACATCTTGCTGGAGGAATCCCAGTCTGTGTGGGCACGGGTGTTGCTGTTTGCTGCATTTAGCTCATGAGACCAGGAATCCCATGGCGTGCATATGGTCCCGATCATGCACATGACTCTGCTGACTTCATGCTCAGTCAGCAGGTGAACCTGTGGCTGTTTGGATAGTCCATGTGATCTGTTTGATTAAGACCTCTTGTGAATTGGGGAGTTGACTCAGAGCACTGTGGGCTCTCCAAACAGTCACTAGGGGGTCACCAAATGGGCAGCCTTCAGTATACGGTGTTCTGTTCTGTGTGTATTCAGCAGAGAGAAAGGAGAGGTTGTCTCTTTTGTTCACTAGAAAGAAAACAGTGGATTTCAGATTAAGTTAATACAATACAAATTTGCTTTCTGCTCTGATTGTACCTGGAGATTTTTCAAGTGTTTGAGCATGCAGACTACGCTCCGGTGAAATCCATGAATCACAACATTTTATGAAAGTATCAGGACAAATGTAAGAGTGTGGAAGAAAATGAGATCTTTTTATGTAGAATATTTTTCAGCCTTTTTCCTGAGTACTGGTGTGAAGAAGGATGAAATTTGGGCGAGAAACTAAAAAGAATCCTGTGTATAAAATATATTCTTACAAAATAAAAGTGACAGACTAGGTAGTGTAATGTTTAAAGTTAGGCAACTGAGTCTTCACTCAAATCCTTCAGGATGCTTATACAATTTAGTATTTTAAAAGCATTTACTTTACTTCAGAACTAAAAATATTAGGCAATGACAATTCCTATATCTATCTGTAAGGCCAAATTTGAGGTTAGTCCTTGATACAACACTTCGTTAACTACATTCTAGTGAATATTTATACAGTGACTTCATACTCATTTTACTATTTTTTTTTCTCTAGAAAGAGGAAATACTTTTGATCTGCATTGTAGCATTCGTTCTCTGGGTTATAATACATATTTCCTTCAACGCCTGAGACGGCCTGTTCTCAACAAATCAATATTATAGATGCTTACTATTTTCAGAATTCTAATTTTCTTTCCTTCTTTAGAAAAATGTCAACAGGATCAAGAAGTGCACAAAGTATTTTAGCCTGCCATGCAGCTCTGTCTTCAATACTGGATTTGTTTGCCATTCTTCTGAAGTAAAGCCTGTGCACTTGTTCATAAACATACTTTGCAGTACTTTTAAATTCCTGCATAGAGAGTACCCCTCTCATATTTACAGAAGTAAAGTTTAATTTTATAGCAAATAAACATCACAAAATCTTTTGTTTTCAGGAGAAAAAAACCTTTTTTCTCTTCCCTTTCCAAATTTTGAAAGTGCTTCATGTCTATATAAGCAGCCAGTTATATGTATAACATATGTAATTACATATAGTCTATATAATTCACCAGTGAATTCAACGATTGGTTAATTCGCTTCCACTTGACCTTGCTATAGACACAGCCTCATAAACTGTGGTATGTCTGGCAGCCAGGGGACACAGATCACATACAAGCAGGAGAGCGATATCACCTGAAAAGCCTGATGTCCCCTCCTGCAGATTGTGTACGGCCAGGCACAGCACCAGAGCCTCAGCTGCCATCATCAGTCCCACTGAAGGCTTTACCTGAACCAGAGAGGTCTGAGAACACTTCCATTGCTTAGGAGGGAAATCAGCTGCATGGTATCTACTAGCACAGTGTTTTAAAAATGGAAAAATAACAAAATAAAAATAAAAATTATCATCAGAATTTTATGTTGCAGCTTGCTTGGAAGGTAGTGCTGGTTGGTCCCTGGTGCTTGACTGCTTTTTGTAAATACAAATGCTTTAGAAAGGGCGAGGTGTTGAGGCAAAGTGGGCAGAGCCTAAAATGTAGGCGTCTTTGCTGTATCTCCAATGGGACTGCACTAAAAGAAATTGAAATCAGATTGACTGTAGTGTAGTAGGACTGATGGACAGAGTTGTGTGTGATTGCTGTTTCAGGTCGAAGAGCATCTTTTCACTTAGAGTGTCTGAAAAGACAGAAAAACCAGGGCGTGGATGTCTCGCAGAAGACAGTTCTGCCTTTGCATCTGGTACATCATCAGGTAAGCATTAATAACCACAAAGGGCCCCATAATGTAACTGAGACCCTACTCGCTGCAGTGCCCCCCTCATTGTATCACAACCAACTTTTTAAAAACCATTTGGAATAGATTCTCACCCGTATCAAAGGTCCAATTTTTAGAAATCATACTTGCCATCGTGCTCATTC